GTTTGGCACTTATCTCAGTTGATATATATATTATCTGTTACGTAATAATCTACACATATATCGTTGGCCAGCTTATTGATAGCTTAAACTTTTGGAAGAATTGACTTCTATAACATAAAAAAATAGCACAGATCAAGCGTTCGGGTCATAATACTGCCTCCCAATTTTAACTCACATGTTGTTGCTGTTATTTTGCATGTTTTCTAGCTTCTTCGGTTGTCTCGTGTAAGTATGGCCATATCTTGCCTTGCTCTTTTAGAGGACTAACTTATCTCTCGAAGGAGAGTAGCAAGTAATGGAATAACTTTTGAAAAGAAGGAATTGTCTGACCATGTTGCTAGTTTAAGTTGATTATATGATTATGGGCCACCTCGAAGGAAGAAGTGTCGCCTTGTGCTTTACCATCGCCATAGAGTAGATAGATGGCTTTCAGATGTGTAAAGGAAAGGTGTGAGGCCTTTTGATACTAAAGCGGCATCATCATATGAGGTCGAATCCTTAGTCACGAAAAGACAGACACATCATCTATAAATAACCACGGAAAGGATATAACTTTTGTGGTCTAATACCTAAAAAAATAGGTCTAGTCTCAATTCTATTATAATCTTTTTTGTCCCATAAAAAATCCCCAACTTGAGATCCAGTCCTAATATTACCCTAAATTTTTTTTTTGTTCCATGAAAAATTTCTAACTTTAGGTTGTGTTCCAATTCTACTGTCCAGTCCTAATTTTACACTAAAATTTTTCTAGTCTCATAAAATACCATCAACTTTTACTTGAATCACAAATCTATCCCGATTAACCATACGTCCAATATTTCTCGTTGACAATCAAGAGATGGAAAACTCTCAAGCACAAGCTGTCTGAGCGTCCCGAGTTGAGTGTCTTGAGGGCAAACTCTCTGCTCGCGAGAGATGGAAAACTCCCGAGCACGAGAGATTGAAAGTTTTTGACTGAATTGACAAAAATGCATTTAAGTTTAGGACTTCTTGGACAATTTTCCCCAGCTTCTTTGTGTATGAGTACATACCTAATGGGAGTGTTTCCACTCACTTGTATGGTATTGCTCTTTCCAATAACATAAACTACTACGATGGCACATGTAATTGATGAAGAGGAGATTTATCACTTCTACAATGTTCTTCCTAGCGAGTCTTGACTTGCCTGAGTTTCGTCTCATCTTCTAATGCTGGCTTTGTGTACTTTATCTCTCATGTCCCGGGAGTTAAGAAATTTAAAGGTCTTTGACCTTGTTGTAATGTCAAGGTTTTTCTATACAAAAGTTCTTGTCCAGGACATGAGCTTCTGGAGCTGAACTTCTGTAAGTTGGGGGAGCCTTTATATTTCAATTGCAAACTAATCTCCATATAATTTCACGGGTTCCGATGACTGATTTTGTGGTCAAACGCTTAGTTTGGATGTGCAAAAGAAACCTTACAAGAGAGTAACTAATGTGCTGAAGGCCTTAAAGAAAACATGATGCCTCTTGCTTACTCATAACTAGTGAGCAAATGACTTAAGAGAGAAAATGTCAAGAAGCAGAATACCATAGTCGAGATTGATTGGGCAAACACTTAATATGAATGTTATAGATACCGTGCTCAACTTGCTACATCTATTTCTAAAGAAATTAGTAGCGCTGATGTATATGATTTTTGCAATATGTTCTATTTTTTTGAATTTTTTCTTTATTTCTATTTTCTTTTTTTCTTGATTTTTGCAGTTTTTTTTATATTTTTTACTTTATATACTAACAATTTTTTTATATTGCTAATTTACTTTTTTTATTTGATATGAAAAATCCAAGTAGTATATGCACATGAAGAGCTTAAAGTGAGTTAAATGGGTGGGTACGGGGTTTTTATAAGTTGGATTGGATATGGATGTATTTTAGTTATTTAGGTTGAGTGTGGGTCAGGTCAAGTACGGGTCACAAGATTTATATTGTGGATAAATGGATCAAAACGGGTTAAATTGATCAATTTGGGTTGGACCATTTTTAACCTGACCCAAACCCGACTCAACCCACCCATTTGACGGCCCTAAGGGTTGCTAAGCATGAGCCTGTGAAGATACACATTTCCTCCTAGCCCCACAAAGAAAAATGAAAGGAAAATTTTCCAAAAAGTACTAAACCTAGTGTATGCCGGCCAATTCATTCCTAAATTTTTCAATTTTGCCAATTTATTTATAAATCTTATGACGATTTTCCAGTATAGTCTCTTCAGTCAATTTTGGACGGAAATCGCCAACGTAGACACCGACTATCCTACATGGCATGACCTGTGCTAATGTGGACGAGTTTTGTAATTTTATTAAATTTTTTGAATTTTTATCTTTTTTTCCTCTTTAATTTCTTTTTTCTTTTTTCTCTATCTCCCTTTGTTGGTCGCATGAGCTTTGATGATGGTCGACAGAGGTCACCGACCACAGGTGAGGGCCACGACGCCCTCGCCGACAATTGCCAAGACCTCGGTGACCAATGGAGAGAAATACGAAAAAAAAAAGCAAAAAGAAAAAGGAAGAAAAAAAAAGAAAAATTCAGAAAATTTTTAAAAAAATCTTGTAAAAATTGTCCATTTTAACACTGATTGTGCCACGTAAGATAATTAGCCCTCATGTAAGCGATTTCCGTCAAAATCGGCCCAAAAAAATTATATTGGCAAATTGTCAAAAGATTTAAGACTAAATTGGTCAAATTGAAAAGTTCATGATAGAATTGGCCGTTGCGCAATAAATTTATGACTTTTTAGACAATTATCCCACAAAATAAAAGCTATTCAATATGTAATCTTATGTGCTATAAAATATCGAGTGGTTGCATTTAACTTTGTTGATGCGGTGATCACATCGAAAATACTGTTTGATCAATATCGAGAAACGATCATTTTCTGCAGCTCATTCATAAGCAGTTAAATCCCCTTTATGAAAAAACGACAACCTTTCGGATTTTACACATGTCCAGGGCTCAACACCGCAACATGATATCAAGTGTGCACTCGGACCACAAAAGCCCATGTAAGCCTTTTTGTCTTGTCCATTGTCCACTTTTGGATCTTGCTGCGGAAGTGCTGTTGCGAGCGCGACAACATTGCTCGGACAAAAGAATCGGGAGCGATGAGAGATGACGTTTTCTAATGGAAGAAGATTGGAATTTGTTCGCCCGCGGGCATCCACTCGCTCGCACAAGAAACAATCTATGGCAAGCAATCCGGAAAGTAAGTTCAAATGTCAAAATTTGAGGTGTTAAAGACTGGTCTAAGCAACCGTTTGCTTTGAAGACATTGATGTGCCTTCCACCATGGAAAATTGTTACCAAACATTTTGTGACACATGAGATTCGATTATTTCATCGCTAATGAGCCGCCACACGACACCCATCGGCATGTTGCGCCGCGGCTAATTTAAGCTTTCTCCACTGCACATGTTAGCACGGGTTGCCTTCAGAACAAATGAAATCTTCAATCATCCCATTCTCCCTCTTTCAGCTCCAACCACAACAGTTGTCCCATTCTCGGCAATCTCTTCGTCCTGCTAAGTCTCGCCCTTCTATTTGTTTGTGAGAACCAATAAGGTTTACCAAGACTGATCTACAGCATTAATTTACGAAATAATGCGATGTGGAAGATGGTCATTTAGTGTTCAAAATGACTAATTTGTTCAAATGCCCATTTACAATCTTCTACAGGCTCAGTAAATTAATTTTATAAATCAATTTTAGTACATTAAGACTACATTTAGTCGTCTGGATTTCTAGACAAGATTGGACTGAATAGATTAGGATATGAAATCTAGGGATTTTACTATCTCTTATCAACTGTTTGGTGAATCGCAGTATTGTTTGGAATAAATGGCATATAGTCTAAATGAACCTAAAAATTGCACAAACAGAGTTGGTAAAAATCTTTCACAACATTCTTGCCTACTTCATTTTTATTTGCTTATTTTATTTTATTTTATTATTTTTCCCTCTTTTTTATTTCCTTTCTGTTTATTTCTTATTTCGCCTTCCATCATTCTCCGATAAAACTTTATTAAATAGTAAACTATACTAACTTACCTAAAATACCTAAATATGTATAAATATAAATACTATAAATACTAGATATATATTTATATATAATGAATTTCTATTATAAGATAGAAAAAAAATTGAATATATAAATAAACATATGAATAAATAAATAAAAAATTATTGTTATTTTTTCGTTATTTTGAATTTTTTAAATTAAAATTAAAATAATATTTTAATTTTATTAATTTACTAATTTTGTTATTCGAGAAAAATAACTTTTATATTATGGATATTATAAATTCTATCAACCTTTATCCCACTTGACCCATGGAACAATTTTATCCGGACTATGTTCTTTTTATATCCGACTTTATCCGGTCCTAAGTAGGAAGCAAACACATATAAGATCCTGAATTTCATATTAACTACCAAACACAACCATGGTATTTCTCTTCTTCTAAAGTATTCGTGTTAGAGAAATAATAAGTACAACGAAGTGTGGCTTAGGGCCAAATTATCACAAGTCACGTTCTCCACAAGCTGGCTTGAATTTTTGTGTCCAACTGTTTGTGTTGCCAACCCCAAGAACCAAAATAGATCGTAATTTTTTCTTGCTTTATGAAATTGTTCGCCAACACGAAGAGAATACTGCTCCTCCTTATATTGGGGTAGGCATTTTAATCTAAATCGACCAGCCTTGGGCTTGTTTGCTTACCTGAATTGCCGGCTCGTTGAAGGATGCTGCATTTTTCATCCCTTGCTACATCAGACGCCCATCACTTGATTGATGCTCTAGTCAAAGACTCGTGCCGGGAAGTGTTCAGCCTGCCTAATTATGTGTTCGGATTACAATTTGCTTATGAACTTTGCAATGAATCCTATCATCTTCCAGTTTGCATAATCCAATCTGCCATTAGCTGATCTAGATGGAAATTATACAACCTGAGCACAGAAGTACTCGATAATCTTATCTACGATAAAAGATACACAGCAACTCAAATTCCTCCGATTATTAGTGAGACAGTACAAGGGTAAGTTAGTGTACAAGTCCCAAAAGAACAAACAAACTTACTTCAACCTCCACATTTTCTGTATAGATACAGGCAGGGTGAAGCATGGAGTTTTATTGAAGACAGACAATCTATGTTGCATGTTAAGAGTAACATTGGACATTTCTAAGTAGATATAGAACTGCTACCAAAAAAGTAGAGTAATTCTTGCTACATATACACACTTCCCGGATCACATGTTATATAGAAGCATGCAGCATATAATATCCATTTGCACCTGAATAGCCACTGGCAGTCTGTCAACCCCCAGCAGCTCCAGGTTGATGCTGCAATTATGCAGGAGGGGCCTTGACATAAAAGGGTGCTGCTTCAGAACCAATGGGCCTATAAAGAGTAAATAAAGGTAGTCAAATTTCACTAGAGCGAAAATGGAGTAAAGGAACAAAGAGTATGAAACAGGAAATTAATCAAATGGGGAACAAGCATGCAAATGGCATAAGACCAAGTTGAACTTACCAAGCTATTCAACATGTCAGATCGCTCTCCACTACACTCCCTAATGGAACACCTACAGTTTTAGCATTCACATCATAGGATGACAGCACCTTCCTCTGACACAATCAATAAGAGCAATTAGTCAATTTCCTCAGACATAATTTAACAACTTGTGGGGTCAGAATTCTGCACATATTAATGAGAATGGGAAAGCAAATCACAATTCCAACACATGGAGATACAAAACACGAGGGGAATGCTATGAGTTATCGTTTCCAACAAATTGTCAAGTGGATGGCACAAGCAGCACTTACATAATTTGATTGATGTAAACAAATTGGATCATCTAGAGCTTACAGATGACTTGATATAGAAGTGACTGCAATAGTATAAAAGGATTCATATAGTCCACAAAGTGCAATAAGGCTTTAGTCTATGGTGGTGGTGGTGGTGGTGGGTGCAGATTTATGAATAGAAGATGTTGTACCAGTATCTACAGGTCCTAAAGAAATTGAATAAGTAAACAAAATGGAATTGGATTTGGTCTTGAACCTATTTGGTCCAGATCCAAAAATGAAATGACCCTCCTTTTAATTGAGTCACTTTGTCCCTTTACTTCGGCCCATTTTGTGTAGTACTCGTTGGCTGTGAGGATGAGTGCCGGTCTAAATCGAAAGTTTTAAATAGAAGCAGCAGACTGTAGATCACCAGTTTATTTGGATCTTATTTAAGAACATCCAGCACATAAATATGATTGCACTTGCTGACTTCATGATTAAACAGACTATCAATGACCTGCATCTACTGACAAGCTACAGCTATGTTACTACGCAAAAAAATGCGATTCTTACATTTTTCGTTTTGTTACTGCGCAGGTTTAAAATTTCAATGTATCTCATAGTTATTATAATAAATACAAGGAGTTTAGTACTCACGACTGGTACGAAATCTGGGCTTGACAAATTAAAGGTGAGGTTCCTCATCAGCAATAAAACCTGCAAAACAACCCAATATGTTAATAGGAAACAGTGGACCTCCCAGATATTAAGATGATGGTCAAAATCAACTGAATGCCCAATCCAGAGTCATGAATACACATACATATTAGAGTTTCCGTTCGTACCATAATAATCTCTTGAACAAGCAAACATCATAAATATAGATGCTGCTAATGCAAACATCATAAATACACATGCTGCTAAGTCATTAGCTATGCAGACCAATCTACATTAGCAGCATTTATGTTGAACTGAAGTCCCCCACAATTGAGCAATTCTCAACAAACTTAACATGATGAGGTTATAATTACAAATGTAAGATGATAGACGTTGGACTGCTCCAAGAGAGGAAATGGTAGAAGTTGGCCAGAAATTGAGCTATCAAACATTTAATGCAATAACCAAGGAAGCCCCATAAATCATCTGCAGGGGGAGATTCACTTCTCCCTATGAAGCTCATTCTGTCTCACTGTGCCCCCTGTCCTCTCTAAATGTAATCAGTTTGTACCAAGTTCCTACCACAGGAGAATTCTTATTGAGACTATAACTCCAAAATTGAGTCACCCTGGTTACATGCTCATGGATATAATTACTAGTAATTGCCATTAAACCTTGAAGCTTCAGCTAAGAGTCATTGTTTTGCAATCACAATTGCAGAAATTCACAGTTTAATGGCAAAATTCGCACCAAACAACCTCTTTAGACAATTCATTTCCACATTTACATCATTGCGTGCTTCAAGCATGACTAAGTTCTGGTTAAAAATGCACCGATAACAAGGACTTGGAGAAAATACATATATATTGTGTAAGTATAGGGAGAAGAAAGACAAAATGAACTTCCAGAGATAACATTATACAGAAGGAAAAATTCGTGGGGGCAAGGTTTACTTTTCCCTTATCTCAAGGCTAATTTATCAATCACACAGTCATGGAATTCCATGTTGTGGTAGGTATTTCATCAACTTCACAAAAACTTTGGAAAGTAGAGAAGTTTCAAGAGCATATAAGATCACCAGGTGGATCGTGATACTTAAATGATATCTAAGCTTAAACAAGGCAAGAGGTAGCTAGATAGCTACTACCAACTAGCCATATGTTAGCTGTTAGGACAGGTGGTGATTTTTCGCAAGCAACACTGTATATAACCCAGGTCATCACCAAGTCATCCTTCTTTACAGTCATAGGTAACTAACCACTCCATTACCTATCCAAAAGGAAGAAAGGCATTTACTTCTGATCAAGAAGCAAGATGACTCTAGACCATGAGATCATACCATCCACGGCAAATCCATATCCGCAAAGTTAAACATCAGCAGTCTTCATCACCATCCACATAAGACAAACCAAAAGATGTAGACCAAGTATCGATATCCCTCACATAAAATTCAATAAAACCATACATCCAAACTCGAGCAACAATGCACAAGCACACCCCTGGACGTGTCCCAGCGTGCCCCAAATGCACAACGTTTGAATCTTACAAAAAATAAGTAAGCAACAGAGGCCAGATTTTCCTTTAAGAAATGTTAGTATCTGAATGCCTCCAAGAAAAGTCATATTCTTCCAGTTACTGTACGACCTCCTCTAGGTTGTCTATAAAATGTGCATGTTCTTTAAGTGATGTAATTCAGTGAAGAGTAATTAACTAAGATAAAATACAACTGACTTACAGTTTCAAAATTGATAGGGTCCATTTCCTTTAGCTTTTGCACATGGCCTTTGGCATTTGGATCAAAGACACTCCCGATGAAGCCGTATACTTCAGAAAAATCAGGTATCCCTATAAAATGTGGAAAATAGAAGAGATATGACATGTGCATAGTCTAGGAATACCGACTAAAGTACATATGACAGTGGTTAGAAGGGTTACCATGCAGCACCGGTGTTTGTCTCTTTTGTTTAGGTATCTCCGAGCTAGGTAGCGTTCTACTTGAGCTTCGGACATCACAGGCAGAGCTGCAACTAACCCTTGACGCGCCCTTTGATCCAATATCAGCTGAATCAGTAATGTTTTATGCTATAATAAGTTCTGGAAAGATCCATTCGACAAGGCTAGTATATAAATGGGATTTGAAAGAAATACTCAAAAAGTGTGGTGTGCCTCCAGCACCTTGGTAATTGCTAAACTCATCCTGGCTTAGTATATTATTGCTGGATGCATTGGTTATGTGCACAGACGCGTCATCCCATGAAACATTTCCTGGTGTAAGTGTAAATGCAGGATTTGTTGAAGAAGGCTGGGCCATGCATGCTTGCAGCGGCACTAAAACTAAAATAGCAGAGCGTATCATGTCAAAAGGCAGACACATGGTGAAGTATTTTGGATAATTTACAAGTTACTCATGAGAAACACACCGTTTTTCGATGCCTTTTGAGGGTAAGGATGAGCAGCCTTGCGCTTAGGACGAGGAGGGGGAACATGTGCCACTGCCCCATTCTTTTGGACTTTCAAGAAGTATTTCTGGGCATGACTTCGGATCTATAAGACGAATCACTTATCAGCTGGCAACTAGAAAACGACTTGCAAGGATATACCAGAAATGAAGCATGATTCATGTCTTCAGACCTGAATGACAGTCTTCGAGCCCACAAAATCCTCAATTTTCTTCCAATCGCGGTCAAATCTGGACAACCAAATAGACATAAAACGACTTAGCCTGGGAACCCGAATCGCGTTCGACACAATTTGAAGAAGAGAAAGAAAAATGAAGAAAAAGACCACCATTAACTCCAATCGAAACCTATGCGAAACAAATTTCCAGTCGTCGTGCAAAATTTACAGATACGATCGCGTCCATGATTGGTGGAATCGAATACGCAAAACCAACCGATCTCTAATTCAACAATCTCTACTCCAACGATGATCGAACCACACCGAATCTCTCTCAAACACTTAGAGCAAGTACAAGATCAAAACAACTACTAAACACGCTAGGAACTACGCGCACGCTCGAAACCAACCGACGAAACAGTATAATCAAACACCGGAAAGAGTCGAGGTGAATACTACTAATCTACGGTACTCCAGCTCCGTCGAGGACAGTTAACTAGTCAAAGCGAGGCGAGAGAGAGAAAGAGGGACGTACAGCTGGAGAGCCTCGAGGAACTTGTCGTGCTCCTCCTCGGTCCAGCTCTCCCTGGACTTGGTGATGGTGTAGGGCTTCCTCACCTTCTTGCCGGATGCGTCGCCGGCCGCCGCCGCCGCGGGCGTCGCCGCCGACGTCGTGGACGTGGCCATCGACTGGGGGTTCGACGAAGGGCTCGAGTTCATCGCAATCCGCAGAGCATCCGCTTTCCACTCCGCACTCGCAATCGCACCGAACACCAACACAGAGAGACACAGAGAGACACAGAGAGAGAGAGAGAGAGAGAGAGAGAGAGAGAGAGAGCGCGGTGGCGGAGGTGGTGGTTGTGGTGGTGGTGGACCGGTGGTGGTGGTGAGAGCTGAGGAGAAGGAAATGAGAATGGGAGGTTCGGAGGGGAGAACAATGGCGACCTAGCGATGAAGGAGAGGTGGGGCCCGGGGGGCGAGGTCGCTGTGGGTGATCCCAGGCCATTCGTTCCCTTCGTCCCGTCCCGCCCCACTTGACAGTTTCGCCAACACCGATTTTTGTTTTGGTTTTCCCACCGTCAAACGATACAAATGGTCTTCGAACTTTGATCCGATTTTTAACGCGGTCCCTAAATTTTTAATTTATTTAATATGATTTATAAACTTTATCTTAATATGAAATATCCTTCATGAAATTTTAAATTGTTCAATATTATCCTTAAAATTTTGATACATGTGTTAATGTATTCTCCGAACTTGAATTAATGTTCGGGACTATAGTTCAGGACCTAAAGTTCAGGGATTACATTGAAAATTTAAAAATTTAAATCGGTTTGCAATTGACCATAGCGAACTTCTCTAGGAGGTATTCAGTTTATTTAATGTGGTCTGTGAACTTTATCTTAAAGTGCAATATCCTCCCTGAAATTTTAAATTGTTCAATGTTATCCTTAAAATTTTAATACATGTACTAATATAATTTCTGAACTTGAATTAATGGAAGGACTATAGTTTAGGATCAAAAGTTCAGGAATTACATTGAATAATTTAAAATTTTAAAAATTATATTACATATTAAAATAAAATTTAAAAATCACGTTGAACAAATTAAAAATTAAACACGTAATTATTTTCGTCATTATTCCTTTTTTCGGTATGTGGTTAGAGAGGGGAGGGGAGCCATGGCGTTTCGCGCCACAAGAAGCGCACTACCGCGAGGCCGGTTCGCGTGCGAATCGGGTCCACGCCAGTTCCTGCGCCTGCAACGAAGCGTGCCGTTGTCTCGTTTGACTCTCGGATTCGACGGAGGGACACCGTCTGATTGACTTTGACTGGGGTAGGAGCTGTGGACGGTGCGGAGTGACCCCCCGCGCGCCCGTGCGCTCCGCGTTTCTAGACTCTAGTCAATTAACACGACGACCACTTCATGAAAAAAAAACACAAAAGAAGAAGAAAAAAAGAAATTGACATGATGACATTTTTTGTTTTCTTCTTCTATTTTTCTTTCTCATAATTTGTGGTCACTTTTAATTTTTAATTCTTTTTTGTCATTTTCGAATTTTGCGTGCACTTTGAATTAGTTTAATGAGAGTTTTCTCAAAATCCGTTTGAATAGACTTAAAGTGATATGTAGATTCTCTTTTTGATCTTGACATAATTTTTTTAATCTGAATAATAGTTTGAATGTTATTGGGACTTTGGCTAATCTAAAAAGCCTAAACAAACAAATCGATTGTGAAAATTGATGGACATATGGAGACCCACTCGGACAATTCGAAAAATATTAGGTAATATGATGGTCAAGGATCTGGTCAATCAGACCCATTTGGATCCGACAAAAAAAAAAGGACCCATTTGGAAAAGTAAATAATTAATTTTTCTTTTTACTTGTGTCGCAATTGGAATTATAAAAATTACCTAATTATCCGACTTTGACTCAATTTGACCCGATATTACCCCTTCATAAGTGAATCATCGCTTTTTGCTTGTATTTCCATTGAAAAAAAATCACAAAAAATCTTTAAGCCTTGTCGGCCAACATATGAGTTAACATTTCAACAGGAGTAGCTTATATAATGTCTTATTTTAAAATTAAAAACTTAATGTAACAATGCAATTAGCAAACAGGAGAAAAGACGCAAAGTGTATCTTAAACGAACAAAAGAAAAAAAGAAGAAGTTAGGTGCACTAACTTGACAAGTTTTGGAATTTATCCTGTAATTATCCTAATTTCGATAGAAGAAAATTTTAAAATTTTACGCATTAATTCATCATTAATATCTTATAAAAAATAATGGAAAAAGTTTCAATAAATCTAATAATGAGGTAAAAATATAGGTGGTCATTCACTTTTTTTTTTTGCTTATGATTTTATCGAATTCACGGAGGTAACATTTTCTTTTTTCCTTTGGAGACAAAAGTTGGATTAATGTGTTATAATATAATTAATATTTCTCAATCATTTGGTGATGATGTTCTTCTTTTTCAATGAAAAAACATAATAGTCACGGTACAGCATTTAATTTTGAATATAGCATTTAAGTTTTAACAAGATAAAGAAACTAATTTAAACTTTGTCTTCGAATTATAGCAATCCAAATTTTCTACTGAGTGGTTTGGTGAAAAATATTTATTGCTAAAAAATCTTCACATACCCAAAGCAAGAGCTATTTATTGAGATAACGCGAGTTCTTCGTTTGAATACGGTTGATCAAGCCTATGCCCCTTTTCAATTTATGACTCTGGCCCATATTTGACATAAGACCTAAATTCAAAGCCCAACTCAACCCACGTATTGCCGGGTCTAATAAACATGACGTCTTTTTTATTGTCCTCACTTTAGGAAGAGGTTGAAGAATTATCAACTCCCATAATTTCACTAATTATATAATATCATGTTTTCGTCTTCTTTTTAGTGCAATTTTATTTATTCAAGCTGTTTCTTCTTTAAAAAACCTAATATAAATGCTTATGTGGTCGCTAACTGCCACGTCTTTCGTAGCTATTAAAAAAATTATTATAAAAGTATATGTTATACAAAAAAAGAAAATTACACTAAAACAAAATATAAGTTCATTACACTCGAGCTCACAGGTGAAAAAAATGCATTGTCAAAATTTTTAGGGAAAATTTCAATTTGGTACCCAAAGTGGGGTCACTTTCTAAAAAATGGGTCCAAAGTGGACAAAGTGTTAAATAAGGACCTGAAGTGCTCAATCAATCTCAAATAAGGGTCTGAAGTGCCTAACTAGTCTCAAGTAAGGGCCTGGGTTCGCCGGCCGGTCAAATGCTCACCGGCCGGCGAGTACGTCACTGTTCCGACAACCAAAACATGGACAATTTCGCTTTTTACTTTTTTTTTTTTTCTCTTTTCCTTTTCTTCTTCTTCTTCTTCTTCTTTTTTTTTCTCTTTTCCCTTCACCGGCCATAGCCGGGGCCGGCGGAGGTGGCCGGCCTCAGGCGGAGGCCGCCCTCGCCTGGGCTGGGCGGGCGAGGGTCGACCCTTGCCAGATTCGGCGAGGGCAACCCTCACCCTCGCCAGATCTGGCGAGGGTCGACCCTCGCCTGCGTCGGGTGGCCCTTGCCCGCCCAGCCCAGGCGAGGGCGGCCTCCGCCTGAGGCCGGCCACCTCCGGCGGCCCTGGCTATGGCCAGCGGAGGGAAAAGAGAAAAAAAAAAGAAGAAGAAGAAAAGGAAAAGGAAAAGAGAAAAAAAATAAAAATAAATAAGAGACGAAATTGCCCCTGTTTCGGTCGCCGGAACAATGACGTGCTCGCCGGCCGATGAGCATTTGACCGGCCGGCGAACCCAGGCCCTTACTTGAGACTAATTGGGAACTTTGGGCCCCTGTTTGAGACTGATTAGGCACTTCAGGCTCTTATTTGACACTTTGTCCACTTTGAACCCCTTTTTGAAAAAATGACCTCACTTTGGGTACCAAATTGAAATTTTCCTAAATTTCTATGACTTATGTCATAGTGGTCATCATGCATGTGCTACACGGGCGCCCTTTTCATGTTTCGTTTCTTTTTTTGTATAAGAGTGCCTTTTTATGAGAAGAATATATTATGTTTACTTAAAAATACAAAAAGAAAAATACACACAACATCAACCGTAATCAAACAAATAGAAAGGAATCATTATGTGGACCTACCAACTAAGATGTCCAGCGTGAAAGGATAATCGAATAAGATTGATTATGGCACATTATTCTTTAACAAAGAACTTTGTAAAAGGAAATTACTTAGACATGGCAGATAGAAATGGGAGGAACAAATACAATCTCATCAAATGATTCCGAGTCTTTCTTGAGTTATTGGATTCAATAATTCGGAGCGTTTCTCAATCAAGATAATTATAATTGATTTTTTAATGTCTTAATGCTTTTGAATTTAAAGCCTACAAAAGTTTAATTTTATTTTATAAAGTGGGTCAAATTTTTAATGGCTAATTCCCTAAAAACCCAAAACTTTAAATCCAATCCCAATTTTGCTTCAAAATTTTTTTTGTATAAAAAAAAGTCCTCAACTTGCACTCTAGTTTGAAATTTGTTCACGCATCTAAAAATCGCCACTAGTTTTCAAAGTTATCAACGTTAGGGCCAGTCAGAGGTATATTACTCTCGTCTTCATCAACACCTCCAGTTTAGTATAAAACAACAACAATATCAGGATATCGATAATTTTAAAGAAATCAGTGGCGATTTTTGGATGTGTGGGCAGATTTGAGACTAAAATAAAAGTTGAGAAATTTCTTTAGACAAAAAAAATTTGAGGTAGAATTGGGATCGAACTTAAAAGTGTGGTTTTTTATTTGGGAAGTAGCCAAATTTTCCATCATCATAAACTTTTTTTTAAACATATTTAGCATTCTCTTTTTTTTTATTTCATGTTAGTCAAAGGAGAGCCATTCAACTTGCCACGTGTCGCTTTGGTGACGTGGAAGATTTGGGCACTTGCCGCCTCTCGATCTCCTTCCACTTCCATCCATATGATCTCAAGCCCAACTTGCCCGAAGCGAAAAAAACTAGTGGCTGCAAGTGAATCTGCAGATGCAAATGGATATTCTTTCTCGAGTCGGAACCACCGTATCTCAATCCTTCTGGTCGCGAAGACGACGGTCGTGGTCGTGGTCGTCATCTTCCTCACCCTTCTCGCCATTGAAGCCGCCCTCGTGCTCTCGAAGGGAACCCCGGCAAGACGGCGACGACGGCGACAAGAAAGGTTCGCATTTCTGTCGAGAATTCGCACTACATGCGCTGAGAATTCTGGGGTTGCATCAGTTTTTTTGGTTGACAATCTTCTTCGTAGTTTGTCTTTATGGACTGAACTTGCTTTGTCGAAGAAATCTACGCAACGGGGTGTCGTTTTTCCTTCCCTGTCTTTCTTGCGTGGGACGCTGTCCTGAAGATAATGTTCGCTCCGCTGGTTTCCGGGTCTGGCATCTTCCCCGTGAATATGATGCTGTGGGCAGTGAATGTCGTAGCCAGAAAAAAAACAGTAGGAACAGATCAGTGGAGTGAAGCATGTGTTGTGGAGCTGTGGAGAGGAGTGAGGTTATTGAGTTCGACGTAATGGAATTACCAAAGACAGGAAAAAGGTGGTGCAGCAATTGCAAGAAATTTGGGAACCATCTTGCGTTTGACGTGATAAGACGGGTTTTATGTGCTCGAGTCCTGTTGGGGGCTCTCGTTGTAGTCATTGTTTTGATAGCCATTTTGGTTTTAAAGGAGTGGGACATTCTGAAGCACTTGCGAAAGTTTGCCACAATCTTCAAATTCATTATCTAGACTAATTTTTCCGAGTTTATGTGTCCGTACTGTCTTGAAAATAGAAAAATGCTTTGAAGAAAAAGCCTGTGTATCCTGCGATTTGTTCTTTCCAGAAGTGGAAATGAACTTATACTTGTACAGCCTTTGTCTAGTAATAGTAATAGTAATTTTCGATATTATTGGCAATTAATTTGTCAGAGATGATCTAACAGTTTTACTGCCCTATGTTTTGGTAATAATGATCCCATTTCAAGTGATCGAGCCAATCTATGACCGGCAAGTTTGTGTTTACTTTCATTTGTTCAAATCACGTCTAATTCAATGTCTGGCTGCATAAACATTATCTCGTCTTGGGTCATTCCTTGAGAAACATGCTTGGATTCGTCTTAATGTAATATTTCCGCTATTTTAGGTGATAAATTCTCAACAGACTGGGATAAAGCATGGTCCAGCTTCAGGAAACAGGGGAAGAAAAGTTTATTTTCAGGGTTCTCGCCTGATAAGTATGTGAGTTGGAATCCAAGACGGTCGGATTACCCCCTCTCAGAGGAAGTTGATCCTATTAAAAGAACAGAGAGATCGAACCTCAGGTTGTGGACCAGTCCTAGGTTTACACTGGTGGGAGCTATTTTAATTGTCACATTTCTTTTGGTCTATACTATTCTTGCACCCATTAAGTGACTTCTTATAACTTTTTTATAGAGGCTGCATTTTGTAATCTTAGCTGTAAGTAAATGAATAAATACTACCTTTGTTTTCCGCTGTTTATATAAAGCTACTTATCATGCAGTAAATTGCAACGCGAACCGTAAAACTTTCACCAGTGTTTTCATGAGCTGCGATTGTAGTTCTTGTGGCGAGGTGAGATCTTTTGATCCAAACGATGCTATTTGGTAGTCTGTGTCTGGAAAAAAGAAAATAAAGACGCATGTACTCCTGCACACACACAGAAATGATCATGATTCTCTAACATGTCTTGGCATGTCGGGAAGCATTTTCTGTTAATCAATATATTTCCTTTGAACATACGTTGAGGGAGGAGTGGAGTGGGTCTGTCTGGTTTTTATGGTGCCTGTTTGGATGGAGAGTTGTTGAACAGGGCCGACAAATTTGATGGCGGTCAATGCCAAGAGGGATGGCTTGACTTCTAGCTTATAGGTTCCTTCATCTTTTGTACCTTCAGGCTCTTGGTGTAGGAGGTTCTGTCTGTGTCATGGTTCATTAGTAGAAGCAAGGTTTCTTTCTTTGTGTTTTGGGAGTACTTGATGCAGGAGAAGTTTGATCTGTATTAATTGCAATTTTATGCAAGCATTTTCTGTTTAGCGGGTCCTCTGCCATAGAGATCATCAAGAAAGGGAATTACATACATATACTTGATGAGTAAAATTAATTTTTTCTCATTGCATCAACTAGAGAATGCATATATTCTATCTGCTTGTTTTCAGAGCAAGATTTTATATACAAGCCAGATGTATTATCTGACCTGGACAAGCGGTTTGCTGGAACATGGGTTACTCTTATGGAGTGGGGGTACTATTAAGTTCTCTGTCATAGATAGGCCCATTGATCTTGGTGGTTTCAACTTAACTTGTATCCCAGAAATTTAGGATCTTCAGCATCGGTCTTAGTCTAATAGTTTGTTTTTCCATCTATCATTATACTTCATTGCCATTGATAGAAAGAAGACGGTTGTCCTGTGTTTTGCTACTGGCGGATGGGCGCTTCAGTTAAACTCTAGTTGGGTGATCTGAATCCACGAGAAAAACAGATGGACAATACCGACAGGCTTCCGAGAGACTAAAGCCTTCAAGTTTGATCTTCACTAGAGGAACTGGGTTATTTTGTAATTAGCGTATATGTCTCTCTAAATCTGAGCTTTAACTGGTGATAGATATAAAAAGAAAAGCTCTAAGGTGAGCTTTAACTGGTGATTTAGCTCATAGTTAGTGGCAAAAGGGCTCCAAAGGTTGTCAATTACTTTACTACTGGGTCTTCGGGAAGTTCAACTTCTTTGTTCAAGGCACTTAGTGTGAATGCTCGTCTGCTTTTCCACCTAAAGGGTCCTTTTCATGAGATAAACTGAATCCTGTAGGGATAGAAGAATTTGCAAGCGGGGCCTGTCTTGTTACATTGAATTTAACTGCTAGTTTGTTGTCTTAGGAGAAGAGAATCTCAAGGTTGTATCTTTGGAAGATTTTAGTGGGATCACATGCATGACTTGTATGATCCAGTAACAATTATCTTTGAAAGATTTGTGTGGGATCTCATGCATGACTTGTATGATCCGGTAACAGGTTGTATCTTTGAAAGATTTGCCGAGGGATCTCATGCATGATTTTTATGATCCGGTATCTTTTGCATGACTTGACCAAATTTTGTTGTTGATGTTGAACTAATGCTTTCACAACAGATGCAATAAGGTCAACAAATATTAAACCTTGTCTTCATTTCTGAACCTTTAATACCCAGAACAAATTTCTTCTGGCAATTTTTAGGTACACATCATGTTTTTTCTGTATTGTGTTGTTCTTGTGGTACAAATTTGATGTATAACATAAAAAGTCCTTAAAAGTCTCAACTTTCTTCTGCTTTTCCTTTCAAGAGTAAAACAAGAGAGCCCGGCACATTGTCGGATTAGATTTTGTGTTTCCCTCAAAACGAACAACAAAATTTTTCTACCTTTGTCATTACATGCAGGGACAAGTGAATCCACTGGTCCCAAAGGCTGTCTATATTTTGCCAGCGAATGAGCAATAACGGGAAAGCTCATCTCCCGAAGCTTCTTTCTCTTGACTGAAGTGGCAGGTCAGCGATCTCTTAACCTTCCCCATAATTAGAATATATACCACCCCCATAGCCCTCCTCTCTCAAACCATCACTCCAGATCTCTATCTGCTGAAAATATGTGCTTATTTGCTAAGCCTGTAGGTGACGGACCAACAGAGAAACTCAAGGATGGGAAGAAGAGGCTTCCACCTAGGAGAGGTCATATTAAGTTTTTGATCGTATCTGATGTTATGGAGAGGCTAAGTCAGTTGGTCTTTCGAAGAAAGAAAGAAGTGCCTGCGCTGGTCGAATGAGCGGTCGCTAGTTAGCCATTTTAGCTGAATCCCTCGAAAATATAGATGTTCCTGCATAGTCTCCGACATCCCGCTGTTTCCTCTCCCATGCTGTGTCCACTCCTGGTACTTTTTTTTATTTCATGGCAACGTACCGACTTCGTTGTCTTTCGACTTGGTTCCTCGTGACTTGCAAGTTACTTTCTTCATGACTGTTGTACATTCCTCCGAGTGTGAGGGAATAAATTTTATTTTGGGTGTCATTATCTCTATATAGTAAGGGTGCGAATGATAACCATTCTCATCCAGAAATCAAATCCTTGCAAGAAATTGATTTCTGGAGGAGAAATCTGTTTGATAATCAGGACTAATTCTGCTCCAGAAATTGATTTCTGGGACAAAAATCTGTTTGATAAAACAGGAGGAAATTTCTGCTTCTGGATGAGAAATACATTTGATAACGGCGTGTCAATTCTATTTCTGCAACAAAGATAGTCCGAACTCAATTGCAAAATATTATTTATCTTAGCCTACAATGCATGATATTCAAGGCAAAATCTTGTACATTTTTTGAAATCCTCAAATAGAAAGAACAAAAATTTCAAAATAACATGTCATTACAAGAAGACCTGGTACGAAATCCTCAATTACACATAATACGAATCCTATAATACAACATTACATTACAAAAGGCAAAACAAGCAAATAATCCTCGAATAATAATAATGGAAGTACAATACAATAGTGGAAAACCGAATTTCATGGAATCTCCGGCATATGATTATCCCTAGCCATTTTATTGGCAATACGTTTCCTGATAGTGTTCATCTCGGTTTCCTCTTCGGTCGTTACTACATCGTCTGTATCCTGTTCAGTAGGTTCACACACATAATTCGGATCTCCATATATGGACAAATGCTTATCCATCTTGTCTTGCTCAATGATATAGTTATGGATCACACAGCATGCAATTACAATATGTGGTTGTTTTTCAAATTTAAATGGAGGCATATGTTTGAAAACAAAAAAAAAACGATTCTTCAAAGCCGCAAAGGATCTCTCAATGATATTCCTTAATGAAGAATGCTTGTGGTTGAACAATTCCTTTGCTGTTGTTGGTCCCCCACTTCGTCGAAATTCTGGTATATGATATCGTTCGCCTTTAAATGGTGTTAAAAATCCAGGACTCGAAGCATAACCAGAATTGACGGCGTAGTATTTGCCTATAACAAAGTATTCACGGATTGATCATGAAATGCAATCCTCGCAAAATCATACACACAAATACTCGTTATATATCAAAGTAGCACCTGTGGGTGGTCGAGGAAACTGTAGGTGAGGTGTGTCAAGTGCGGCCGACAACACCCAACAATCGTTGGCTGATCCTTCCCAATCAGCGTACACAAAAGTAAATCGCATATCAAAGGAACACACACAACACGTTCTAAGTGGTTGTGCCTTTTCTACCTCTAAATCGTGGCTGCATATGTTCAGGTATGGTAGCATGAATATGGGTGCCATCAATAGCACCTACACACCCCTGTCATTTAATTAAATACATACATTAGACAAGATTATGAGTAAAACTAACCAAATGGTGCAAGGAAATGTACAAAAAACGTACCTTGAAGTAACGATTAAACTTTGGCTCAATCCGAATTTCTTCTGGGACAACATCAAACGAAGGAGGTACGATAGTCTCCTTCGCCAATTTCAAAACAGCTTTCAACACCTCACCAAAGTACTTGCTGATAGTTTGTCCTGAACGTTGGAATCTCTTACATAAAGCTCTGTTGGAGTTCTTGTGACAAATCATTAATAAAAACATGGCAACCAATTCATCAACCCTAATATATCGACTGTCTGCCAACCAACCTCTTGACTTGAGCAAACCACAAAGGTTAAGAAAAACATGTCTCTCCATTCTAAATGCTTCGTATACTCTATCCGAATGTCCATGAAGAAGCTCGCTAACCCATTGGGGTCTTGTCAATACGCTGTCCCTAATACGTTCTCTCCTGTGCATGGACCTATGCAACCAAGCAGTACACAACCATGCCAACAATATATTCAACTCATCCTTATCAAAGTCTTGTTCACCTGATACAATTGTTTCACCTGATGCTACTTGATCATTAGACCAGCTACTTTGACCCCCTTCCATATTGCCTAGGCCATCATGCGAAAGAAGAAGACAAACTCAACATGTCAGTTAGGAAGCCAATACATTTGAACTGATATGTTGGGAATTTAATATCACTCAACATATAATTATAGAATTCAATCACATTTAAGCAAAGTCTCAACATCATCACAAACGCATAGGAATAAAGACAAGTCAATGTTTGAAATACATAAGTGAAAGACCGAAATGAACTCAAACATATAACGGCATACTATAACCCAACAACTACTCAATAGCCCAACTACTCATCCATAGCCTCAATAAAGGCAACTCTCATTTCAGGAAGACATGTCAGGAAACCCTCTCTCCAAGAGGCATTAATGACAGCATGTTTCATAGCTTTGATGTAAAGAACCTTGTCCAAGTCATGCATGGCATTTAGGACGGCACCCATGGCTGCTATAGAGTAGGGGTCCACAGGTGTTGAGGACTGTGAGGTGACGGAGCCGCTTGATGTTGGAACCGTCTTAACTTTGATCATCTCTTGAATGGCTTTGCAGGTCGCGTCAAATGAATGTGAACTGTTCTTTCTCCTCCTCTTGGGATTTGGAGTCCTATCCAACCTGTGGCTTCTTGGAGGTGGGCTCGCCGGCTTGTTAAATTGTTCCACATCGACTTGGGTTTCGAAAAACTGTTCTGGTTCGCTTAGGTTGACATGAACATCATTGTCACCACCACTATCACCTATACCCTCCGACGGTGCCACGCCTTGCGCATTTCCTATTACAAACTCCCCAGTGGCATATATATCCCCAAATACAACATAAAGCTGTGAATACAAAGGAAATCCGTCCTTCCTGAACTTGGCCCATTCAATATTAGCCTGCGCCATTTTCAAAATAATGTCAGGCAGTACTCAACATTTTATAAATATGAAATTTGAGGTTACAATAATAAGAGGACCTAAGTAAGTAACATCACCTTGATGTGATTTGCCCAGATAGTTTCATCGTCCACAATAACCCTCTTGCTGTCATCGTCCCATCCAAATCCCATTGTTGAAAGCAGCTTCTTGAAACTACCATATTGTCTCTTCAGTTTCTGTGCCTTGTTCTTGAACTGTGGTAGACTAAAGTGAAGTCCTGTTAGTTTATTGAATTCTCCCTCAATGTTAATCCACTCTACTCTGTTGTAGGTACATGATGTGCGATTTCCCTTTTTTACCTCATCTACCATCAGACTTACAAACAACTCGGTCAACGGCATAGTCCACTTTGCCATGTCCGTGTCTTTGGAGGATTCCATTTATCTAAACTCGATGGAATTTCAGGAGCAAATGCTGGTAATGGCGATTCAACAAACAAAGAAGAATTAAACAGAGGAGCACATCTACAAAAGAGAACATAAATTGTACCTGAGCAGAGAATTTCACACCCCCACCAGTTCCTAAACACCACGAGATGGAAAAAGAAACATACAAAAAGTCGGGTTGTTATTCCTTTATAAAAATGCAATCTTTGCAGGCCATAATAACATGATATACAGACAATAAATAAAGATGTTAATGCCATAAACCGCAGCAAGCACAATGTTAAAGCCCAACAGGCATATATAGCCCAAAAATGCAATCTTTGAGAATTAGAAAATGTAATTCCAGAAACATGCTTAAGAACACAAAATGGCAAGTGATAGCCAACATGCCTTCCTTATCCACTACTTTCTGAGATTACATCTATCAATCATCACTCAACCAATCAATTATTAACACACACTAGTTAATTCAAAGTGACTATAAGAAGTATAACTAATCAGTATTCTGAAAGTGTCTGCTTCAACCTAGCTTCTAGTTGGATGTATAATGATGACCTCTCGAAATCTTGCTTGTCATGTACATGCTCTATAAAATTTGCCTCTAAAACTCCTAAAATGTATGAAAAGAATTTGGTAAATAATAAATATTCCAACAACAAAAATTTGATGAAAACATATAGACGATAAGCACAATACCGACAACACCGTATCCTTTTCAAGACTCATCACTGGTGACTTTCGAGAAAGGCTTATCTTCCCTAATTATGCGACCATATTTTTCTGAAGTCAGAATAGAAGACTCATGAGATTTTTAGTGTTAAGTTTCCGAAAATGTTCAGTTACTTTCATAACAATGGATGAGATTCACCAACAGCATATTTTGTACGAGCTTAGCAATGTGTCTTCTGGCAACTTCAGGTGAGACAAATCGAAGATTCTTATGATACTATGTGCAAGCCTAGACCCAAAGGAGATACACAAGACAATTTCCACGCTAGAGTATGGAGCCAAACTCAAAATGTATTGTTCGTGGCCCACATACGCCACCCAAGGACAATTTCCAAGCAAGTCTTTGATAGTTTGTTCTGATCAAAAGAACAACTAAAAGCATCATATAAGTATGTTAAAGAGGAAGAAAAAAGAGGCTAATGGGGTAGAACATAATTCCACCAAAAACAGATTCGGCATTTCTCTTTGGTGATTCATCGAACAGGTAGTGTACGATTCAAATACAAGCTTCAGTTTCATATTTAATGCAATTCTTGCCTTAAACAATGTATATTAACTTATAAATCATCGCAATCATTCACAGGTCGGTCTCAGATTCACAATATAAACAGCGAATGGAACTCGACATCCTAAGTTTCAGTGAAGCAGGTAAAGTAAGGCAGAAAATAGGGCGGCTTACCTGAATCTAATGGCAGTAGAACTACGAATCGGTGACTAGCGACGGTGGTTCGAATGAGATTAGCAATGATCACCTTCGACTTCTTTGAAATCGCTCCTCTACTCTCTCTCGCTCTTTCTCCTTTTTTCTTTCTTCTGTGCGTTAAACAAAATGACCGCTTCCCAGAAGAAGATCTTCCCCCTAAAATCAAAGTCGGACGCGCTGGTGGAGGCGTGGACGTAGGCGGGGCGGAGGCGTGGGCGGAGCGCGGGAGTCCTTCTCGCCCTAGTAGAGAGACAGAGAAGGGGGAGAGAGAACTGTGGCAGATCTGGTCTCTGTAGCGGAGGCGCAGGTGGAGGCGTCCATGGAGCACGGGCGCTCGTCAGGCATAGCACAGGAGCTCGACCTAGCAGAGAGACGGAGAAGAACGCGACATTTGGTGAGATCTCAGAAGGGCGGAGGCTGGGCGCAGTGCGGGAGTCCTTCTCGCCCTAGCAAAGAGACAGAGAAGGGGGAGAGAGAACTGTGGCTGATCTGGTCTCTGTAGTGGAGGCGCAGGCAGAGGTGTCCATGGAGCACAGGCGCTCGTCGGGCGGAGCGCAGGAGCTCGACCAAGCAGAGAGACGGAGAAGAAATTTGGTGAGATCTCAGAATGTGTTGTGAAGGGCACGAAGAAGAGAGAAAAGAAGGAAATCTCATTCTGGAAGAGAGAAGCTAGAAAAAATAGCTTATGTTTTTTGGGCCAAAATGTATTCTGGAATCAAAAAGTGATTCCGGAGCAAAAAAAAAATGCATTTTTACCAAGCGCATTTTTGTTTCGGAATGCAAAAATTGCTCCAAAATGCATTCCGGAAATTTTTTAACAAATGTATTCCTGTTTCGGAATACATTCTGGAGCAAGATTTCTACTCTAGAATGCATTTCATGCGCACCCTAAGTTTCCACGGCCGCATTCCTGGAGCTGTGTTCGTTCTACCAACGAGCTCGCTTGCACCAACAGATGATGCCGCTGTCCAATTTCCAACTCCTTTCGTAGATTAACTTTAAGAGGCGTGTTACCTGGCAAGACATGTGGAAGTATTTCCTAGGTGTCTGATGTGTTTGGCAATTGTTTGATTTTATGTACGGAAGGAGAGAGGAAACACAACCACGTGGATATTCTAATGTTTTGTCTGGTTGTGACATAAATATACTTCGTGTAAGTGAAAGAAGTTCAAACAAAATGAAGCACATTACCTCCAATTTCTGAAAGTTGAGAAGAAAAAATGTCTATTCGTTCTTTTACCGGAGATTTCCAAATGCCCAAAGATGGACTGTTTCGAGACAAGATACCACATACAGAAAGGGACTAAATTTAAATGAGTCCTTTTAACATGATGAAAAATGACACAAGTAGTTTTTAAACTTTGGTCCAATGTGGAATATCATCCTTGGACTTTTAATTCGTTCAATATGATCCTTGAACTATTCCTAAATATTCGTTCTCGTCCCTAAACTTTTAACTTGTTCAGTCTAGTCCCTTAACTTTCCAACAAAAGCAAATAAGTTCTTTAGTACTATTCACAAGTTTTTATTACTACACGATTACCAAGATTTTATAATATCTTTTCATTTCAATCATGTTCCTAATGAATAAAAATGTGCTATATTTTATTTTCTTTTTACTTTTTTGGCCTTAATAAATATAATTGATAGACAATTTAAGTAAATTTTAACTTGTGATCCCTATTATAATAATTGTAAAACCTCATTTAAAGTTGTATTGAGTTGATATTTTCGACAGTTTATGTTTAAGTGTTTTCATAAGAATATGTATAAATTTATTAATATATTTTTATATATCCATACTTATATATTTAAATTTATATTGATATCTGTCGTGAGGGTTAGAAGATCTAGATTAATTTTTCATTTTTCTTTTCTTTTTGTGTTTTCCTCTTTTTTTCCTTTTGCCCTCCTTTTGCTTTTGTCCTCTCCTTTCACTTTGTTCTCTCTTCTCTCACAACAGACAAACCCCACACACACACACACTCTCTCTCTCTCTCTCTCTCTCTCTCTCTCTCTCTCTCTCTCTCTCTCTCTCTCTCTCTCTCTCTCTCTCTCTCTCTCTCTCTCTCTCTCTCTCTCTCTCTCTCTCATTTGAGTGTAGCCAAAGCCAAGCCTCATCCGTTGTCATTGGCACGCAGTCGCTTGAGCTATGCATGATAGCCATAATAATACTTACTTGTTCCCCAAGGAACAAAAATACATCAGCTTTACTACTTTAAGTCCGTCCATGATCCACAAAATTCAATTTGGGGTGGCAAATACAAGTAAGGAAAACCTTTCTTCAGTAAAACACCAGTTAAGAGAGCCATTTGCAAACAAAAGACCATTATTGCTTTGCTTATGGTTCAAAGCCAAAAAGTGAGATAGAGAGATCTCTACACCTTGAAATGTACTCCTTGATAAATGAGTTTGGGGATGTATTTCTGAGTGATTTATCCTATGGGTTACTTCCCTTTAGAAGAATTGAACATCAAATCGACTTACTTATTGATGCTCGTCTCTCTAACAAAGCCGCCTATTGATGCAAGACGGAGGAAACTAAGGAATTGCAAAGGTAGACAAGATGATTTCTAGAGGATATGTAATGGAAGTATGAGCCCTTGTTCGATACTAGCCCTACTCGTGCACAAGAACGATATTTCTTTTAGAATGTGGTGGACAGCCAAGCCATTAACAAAATAACATATAAGTATATGTACCCCAAACCTAGAATTGATGACATTCTTAATCAATTGCATGGCTCTACAATGTTTTTCAATATTAATTTGAGGAGTGGCTATCTTCAAATCGGGATGAGAGATGGGGGAGCATCCGACTTAATTCCATTGACGAATCCAACACAATCGATGTTTATTCAAGGGAAGGCAGAATTCAGTCATAACTTGCTTTGATGAGTCGAGAATGAAGTTGTCGATAAGGAGACTATTGACTAGGTTATCGATTGAGGAGTTATTAGTTCTTCTTTGCTGTTCAAGTATTAAGTTACCGATTCACCATATTATTTGTCGATTTTATAGCTAATCGACAATATATTGACGGAAGGCTATTCTAAGCAATTTCCTTGGATATTTGTTGAATTGAGGTGGTTATTCTCTGGTCAAGGCTAATGGACGAATTTTGGAGGATGAATCCCAAGAGTTAAGTTTTCAAGTCTCAATGTCTTTATTGCATTTCATAGTTCTTATATGTTTTAAATGCATTTTCTAGTTACTAGGTCCTTTAATGCTTTCTAATTCCCATGTCTTTAATGTTTGGGTAGTTCTCATGTCTCTTTAATGTTTTTCTATCTCCTATATCGTAGCACCTCTATAAATAGAGGAGAGTTCTCCATTGTAATATAGACTTTGAAGAATATATGATAATTCCTTTATGTGAGTTGAATTATTTATACGATTCTTTATCGAAGTTCCTTGGTGGTGAATCAAATAATTTTTTTTATCATTGGCCGGTGGAGCAATCCTTTATGCCTAGGTGGTGAGCTGCCATCTATTCCGGTTTTTTATTCTTGGCTGGTGACTTATGCCTTTATACTTCGGTGGTGAACCTCCATATCCTTCATCCTTTATACTTCATTATTCCTTCCATCTCAACAAGATCCACACATTAAATCCTGCAAATCCACAATTTCGGAATCACTTGCCCACAAACGCATCATGGGGGTGAGTGGAAAATGACCTCAAATCTAAAGGGCCTCTATGAATGGCTAGTTATGCCATTTGGTCTTTCTAATGCTCCGGGCACCTTCACGAGGCTTATAAATGAAGTCTTTTTCCCTTTAATGGTTGCTTTGTGGTTGTCTACTTTGATGATATCCCCGTTTATAGCAAGAGTGAGTAAAAGTATTTGCCTCACTTAAGACAAGTCTTAGAAGTCTTGAGGAAACAAAAGCTTTATGCCAAGATGGAAAAGTGCTAGTTCTTCTCTTCAAGCATCATATTCCTAGGCTTGTAGTTTCCAAAGATGGGATTTCCGTAGATCAATCCAAGGTAAAGGCAATGAAAACGTGGCCCGTTCTGGAATGTATTTATGATTTGAGAAGCTTTTGGGGTCTTGCTTCTTTATAGCGGCGATTTGTGATGAACTTAAGCACTATCATGATTCTTATCACTAAATGCCTTTGAAGTCGTTGAACAAATAATTTGTGAGTCTCTTATCCTCGCCCTTCCAAATTTTGATAGAGTATTTGGAGTGGAACATAATGCAAATGGAGCTGGCATCAAGGCTATTCTTTTCCAAGCGCAAAAACCTCTACATATTTCAGTAAGAAATTGACAGGGTTAAGGAAGAATTATTTCACTTATGACAAGGAATTATATAGCATTATGAGAGTTCTTGATCATTGGAGTCACTACTTGAAGACAAATGATTTGTTCCTCATTCTGATCACGGCAGTCAAATATGTCAGCGGCCAACGCAAGCTTAATTCAAGACATGCCAAATTGGTAGAATTTTTTGAATCCTTTTCTTTCGTCTCAAAATATAAACCGAGCAAAACTAATGTTGTGGCATACGCACTATTATGGAGATATTCGATACATGTTGTTCTTGACTCTCTAGTTCTTGGCCTCAAATAATTAAAGAACCCTATTAAGAAGATCCGAAGTTTTCGTCCATCATCATTTATTGCAAATAGGAGGTTATAATGCTATACAATTTAAGATGGATTTCTCTATATAAATAATAAGCTCTTTGTTTTAAGAGTTCCATTAAAGAGTTATTGATCCGAGAAACGCATGGTGGAGGATTGATTGGCCACTTTGGTATTAACATGACTCTTGAAATCCTTCAAGAACATTTTTATCGCCCCAGGATGAATGGAGATGTGTATGCTACCATGTTTAGGTGTTCGACTTGTCAAGGGGGTAAAGACTCACTTCCATCGACGACTTTATACTCCACTTCCACTTCCATCACAACCCTAGAGGATGTGAGTATGGATTTTATTTTGCTTCTTCCGAGAAAATAAAAGGGAAAGGATACCATCATGGTGGTGGTGGTTGACCAGCTCTCTAAAATGGCTCATTTTATTCCGTGTCACAAGTCAAACAGTGTTTCCCTCGTGGGCAAACTGTATTTCAAGGAGATTGTTCACCTTCGTGGAGTTCCTAAGACCACCGTTTCTGATCACGATTCCACATTCTTGAATTACTTTTGACCCTAGAGAGGATGCTTGGCACAAAACTCTTATTCAGCATCAGTTGTCATTTTATTTTTTGGATGGCTAACCAGAGGTAACCAACTGTACCCTCACTGCTCTCCTTCGAAGCATGGTGAATTTACTTAAAATAGCTCTCCAACTTTATTGGCACATGAATTTTGACGATCCCATTTAATCATTTATTGCATAAAAAATTAGGAGTCGATCCTGACCCTTAAACAAAAAAATAATAGTAATTTACATTTACATATTATAACCATTATAGTTTAATAAGCCCACATAAACTGTAAAAAGGTTCTGAGCTTAATTAATTGAACTAAGCTCGTAAAGTGAAAAATTGAAACAAGCCCATTATCCTCCCAGAAGGCCGAATTTGACATGTGTCTTGCACTTGAGGTACTTCAAATTTGGAAGCTTTGATTTATTGAAATAAACTTGGGGAATAATCAGGCATTGTATTATCGAATTTAGGTCAATAGGGATATAGAGAGAGGTTTCCAATTATTGAAT